GTGGAGGTTCCTCAGTCACAGTCGTACGGCCATTGACCAAAAACAGTGGTTCTTCAGCCACATTACACGCAAGTGTATTGTTTGGTTGACAGACACGGAAAACCACATATTGTGCGTACGTACACATCACGTTTAAAACATATAGGCTATTATGTCCTCAGGTTCAGCCTGATTGTATCAGGAATGCCGATTTAGTGGTTCAGTAGCAGACCTCGATACAAGACTTACTGACTGCCATCACTCTTGCGCTAGGTGTCACCAACACACCAAATATGTCTGCTTGGTCCTCAGCCGCCATATTGAAGCGACTTTGCAGCTCATCAGCATTATCTTCACGGACAACCAGTGTCTGTAGTATTCGCAAGTCCATTTCAACAATTATGGAGCCAGTCCTGCAACAAGAAAGAGAAGCAAAACACATTTCAAGCATCATTCAAGAGAGACGAAAAAAACTTAATCCTGAGCTCATTCACTCCCGCTGGCATACGCAAGGACAGTTGGCGCATGTGTATGGTATACGCCCACTGAGTAGGTTAGTTACACAACACAACACTGCACTACGGCTAGGGTGTCACAACTCAGAGAGAGAGAGAGAGAGAGAGAGAGAGAGAGAGAGAGAGAGAGAGAGAGAGAGAAAGAGAGGGGAAGCTGTGTTTCGACTCTGAGATACACACTCTCACGACTTTGTTTCATGCACATAGCACAATCATCAGACAACATGGTGGGTAGCATTGACCGTGTCCGGAGATATTATGTTTTTTTATAAGCAAAGCGCAAGTGACGTTTAAAATTTGATGTTAGAAATCAACTTCCTAGAATTTCCTAGAATACTGTTGTTCACAAAACTTCTAGCAAGCAACAGGAATGCCAAGAATCGATACTGTAGCTTACCTAATATGGAACGGATTCTCGGGAATTGAATCGAGAAAGAAAACCTCATTAAGGTTCACATCAGTAAGGAAAAGCTTCTCAACCTGCATTGACGAGAACAGAACCATTAACCTAAAATGAAAAGCCGGAATTAAAAAGAGCCATATGATGTCGACCAAGTAGGTTCTACTGTCTGCATAAGAATAATATCACAATGTGTCTTTCCCTCAAAGCAGTGAATACCGTAAAGTCTTGTATAAAAGCCGCGGCTTCTAGGACTTTCTTGGTGAAATTTTGCAGGCTTCTATATGAGACGGGCTTCTATACAAAACAGGTATTTCTATGTATGTCAACACTAAAATCAGGCTTATGTGTGATTAGATGGGCCCAAATTTGCGGTTTCCATTCGAGGGCGGCTTCTATTCAAGTGCGGCTTTTATACAAGACTTTACGGTATGTCATATTATGTAGATTTTCCGCACAAAAGGATCACAAGAAGGGGAGCAAGTAGCAGCTTTCGTTTTTATGATTTATTTATAATTCACACTCCCAAAACTGTTGCATTCAATCCCCGGTTAAAAATGGAGTTTCTTTGCAGTTGATTTGGAAAATGTTGGCTGGAGAGTGCATGCTCTGGTGGTGGTGAAAGTGCATGCAGTGGCCGTGGGAATGTGGACAGTGCATGCAATGGCGGTGGGAATGTGGACAGTGCATGCAATGGTGGTGGGAATGTGGACAGTGCATGCAATGGTGATGGGAATGTGAGGTCTTGCGGAGTATAGTCACAGGACCACCATACCTTCGGCAAAACAACTCTATTCCCGACGCAGAGCAAGAAAAACGACATTCTGGCACCAAACGCATCACACGGCTATCATCGAATCATGGGCAACTGATGTGTTGAGGGAACTGGCCATCATACACGTGAGTATTATCCTTTTGTTCTGACAAGGTTTGCCAATACAGGATTGTGTTGACTCAAAACAGATGTTATGCAAACAGAGCCTCAGCCACCAAAGCAAGAAAAATACAAAACTGCTCTACTCACAGCGTCAGTAACATTTCCTCTGACGTCCATGTATTGTTGCGTCCCAACGATAGTCACGTTTTCATCCGGGTCCTCTACATCAAAATCAAGATTGATGACGTACAGCTGCAAAGCTGCAAGAAACGACCGAAGGAATGACACTCTGTATCAGTTCTTAAGTCAAGCTGACCAATTGGAAAATTAACCATAGCCCAGTGGCCGAGCTACTACAGCAATCATAATAATTGTGACATTGTATAATGTATCAAAGTGCATCTCCCTATGTGGAGATGGAGAACAGAATAAGAACAAAAGACATGTGGACAGCAAAGAAGATGTAAGTGCTACATAAGCTAGGCAGTACGGATGAAATGAATCGTAGAATCTTCGAAGTTAATTGATCCATAAGCGCTTCAAGATTATTTTAAAACAGGAAAGAAGGTTTGGAAGAGGTTAATAGTGGTCATTTACAAACCCCTATTTCACAGTGCACATTTCCTCTTGAAGGAATTGTATTGTTCATATCATCAAAAGGCAATTTGGCAGAGAACCTTTGCCTCAACCTAGAAATGCAGGTACTTCTCTACGGACGGCAAAATATGTTAGGGGCTTTGGCTCAGGTTTTTATAGGTCACTTCGTGATCTTTATCCAAAATTTAGAAAATCAATATCATTTACCTCTGACTTCTACTACGATACTCCTGCGCTCAATGAACATCTCTACACCATCTTCCTGCCTAGCTTGAGAGATTTCACAAGTCCATGTGCCACCATTTCTACGACGAACGTTTGGTACAGTGATTGTCGACGGCCACGAATCAAGCACCTCACGTCGTCTTTCCTGCTCTTCGTTTTGCTCCTGCTTGCTAGTAATCTCCGATCTCAGCACTCCATCTTGAAACCATCGAACTGTGGCTACTGGATGTCCCTGGTGTACACACGCCAACTGTAGGGTACTGTCTTCAGCTACAAGTAGGGTTTCGCCCATGTTGGGAGGTGGCTCGATACGCAGTAGTTGTGCGCGACCTACAGCAAAAATGAAACCAGGGAAGAAAGATTAATAAATCAGAGAAGGATGATCTGCCATTCTGCGTACTGGACAT